CTTCCTTCCTTCCATCCATCCATCCATCCATCCATCCATCCATCCATCCATCCATCCATCCAGTATTTATCTCAATTCTTAAAATGACCGAGTCCAAATTAAGGAACTGAAATGCAGTGGTGTGTGTATGCACGCCTACTTACCCCATGCTGGTTGTGCAGTTTTTCCAAGAGGGTGCTGTCAGTGCCTTTGGGAAATCTACTCTCCTCGTTAACTAATGCCAACAAGCCAAGTTTCTGCAATCGTAGTACAAAGAGAAAGGTGGACTCCTTGCCGCAAACAGCACAATGGGTTGCTAAGCCAAAGGGGAACTAGAGCTTTAGAAGAGCAGGGTAGATACACTAAAATGGATTATTCTGGGTACTGTAGTCAAATCTTAATTCTAGAAAAGTTTAGAATTGGCTAAAACCATATTTTCACAGTTGTATTCCACTTGACCAAGCATTCTTACCATGTTGGGAGTAAGGAGTAGGCATAAGAATATAACAATCCAAGGTTTATCCAGGTTGGTTCAAATACTTTGTTTTTTCTTTTTTTAAATGAAATTTCATTATAAGAATTTATTTAATTTTTAAAAATAACTATAGAAACAGAAAACAAAAGGCAGGAAAATAAAATAAAAAGTGAAAGGTAGCAAAAGAGGAAAAATACCTAAAGAAATTACTTCCAAATTTCTTTGTGGAAGTTACAAATAGAATGATTACCATCTTTACCCATCTAAGTAAAGTGATCATTATTCTCTTCTTCCATAAAAAGATATTTTGAATCAATAAATCCTGAAATCACCAGTTCATTTTTATACATTTTCAGCAAAAAGTCTATAAAGAGTTTCCAAGATTTGATTGATGCTTCAATGTACAAAGCTCATTATGGTTATTTAATGCAACATTCAGACAACCTCATAATCCTTCTGTCATCAATTTGTGCTTTATTTTCTCTTTATTTGTGTTTTCTCTTAATGGGGATGTTTCACTTTGGCAGAAATACCCAAAAGAAGAATAGCAAATCCTAAAATGTAACTTCCATTTTATAGATTTGAGCACTCAGCTGACATAAGCATTTGAGACTTATCTCTTGTTCCACTCCCTCTCCTAAACACTCAGTTGTGAACATTCGCACAACTTCATTTCACCAATGTTGGAAATTCCAAAAAGATGATATCCCAAAGCACCATTTTGAAACCAGCTCCATGCTTCTCCTCTGCTTAGTTTTTTACTTTTCTTTTTCAAAAGAGAAATATTTTTGCTACCTTTGTTGTGAGATAGGAAAGCTGCCTGCAAATGAAAGTTCTTTATGCAAAATATGCCCAAATGATCATTCCAAATCGGAAGGACAAAAGTGGTTAAGCAAAGGGGTTTTGCAAACCTTTTTTTTTTACTAATGATTTTCAAGCTGCTGTTATCTAAAGGCAATCCTTTTGCATGCTCATCTCTCTTAGTAACTCGGGAAACCTGTTACTAAAAATGTCATTGTGAAGATCAGCTTCTAAATTTAATTTGGTTAGTTTAGGCCTCCTCCTCCTCCTCTTCCTCCTCCTCCTCCTCCTTCTCCACATATATATAACTCAAGTCAGTGAACATGCTTAATATTACTGCCTATTTTCAGCTCCACAGCAACTCTCCACAGCAACTCCTTGAGGGTTGGGCTAAGAGAGTCACTGGCACAAAGTCAACCAACCAGTTTTCATGTTAAGGAAGGCTTAGAAGTCAAACTCTAGGTCTTTGGATCCCTACCAAACCTCTAACCTGAGCTACAAATATTCTCTACAATCTCTAACTGAAATTCTAGCCTAGCATCTTAAGCACTGCACCAAACTTGTTCTCTCTCTCTTTTTTTCTTTTTTTTGGCCTATGGCATGCCACTCAAAGGCCAAGTAAGCCTTTGGAATATACTTATCACTTAGGCTCTTAGCCAAGATGCCCCCAATCTCCTGGGTCTTATATGAGGGTGTGTGTGTGTGTGTGTGTGTTTGTGTGTGTGTGTGAAGGAGAAAGGGGGGAGAGAGAGGGAATATGTGAGAGCTTTATTGTTTACTGCTGTTTTGCCATAAATATACAAATGCAACTTAATTGCTTTGCGTATCGATATTTCTAAGCCTTTCAATTGAATTTAAATATTTTGTTGTGGTGCTTGTTCCATTTTAAGAACAAGAGGAAAAAGGGGAAAAGCAGTACAACTAAAAAAAAAAACACAGAAAAAGACGGAAAAAAAATCTGGAATTACAAATATATTTCACATTCACCTAATTTTATAAATATTTGACAAGGGAAATTACATTTTCAATGTTCACCAAATCATTTTTTCCCAAAAGGAGAGAAAATGTGATTTTAATATATATATATATATATAGGGAATATAGCACTAACCCATAACTGCTCACACAAGTGCATTCTGGATCAATTGTAGCTTACAATACAATAAAATAGCAGAGTTGGAAGGGACCTTGGAGGTCTTCTAGTCCAACTCTCTGCCTAGGCAGGAAACCCTATACCATTTCAGACAAAGGACTATCCAACATCTTCTTAAAGACTTTCAGTGTTGGGGCATTCACAACTTCTGGAGGCAAGCTGTTCCACTGATTAATTGTTCTAAGTGTCAGGAAATTTCTCCTCAGTTCTTAGTTGCTTCTCTCCTTGATTAGTTTCCACCCATTGCTTCTTGTTCTACCTTCAGGTGTCTTGGAGAATAGTTTGACTCCCTCTTCTTTATGGCAACCCCTGAGATATTGGAACACTGCTATCATGTCTCCCTTAGTCCTTCTTTCTATTAAACCAGACATACCCAGTTCCTGCAACCATTCTTCAGATGTTTTAGTCTCCAGTCCCTTTATCATCTTTGTTGCTCTTATCGGAACTCTTTCTAAAGTCTCCACATCTTTTCTACATCGTGGTGACCAAAACTGAATGCAGTATTCCAAGTGTGGCCTTACCAAGGCATTATAAAGTGGGTTTTTTTTCACAAAGCTTCATTATAAAGCTTCCAGGATTAGCCCCATGTACAGCATGTTGCAGTAGGCAAAGCAGGAGATGATTAGTGCATGAATCATTTAACCTCCCAGATTTTGTTTTTATTTGGCAAGCATTATCTTCTTACAAGGCTTAGTATTACTTGCTATTTTAGTTTCACCAAGAAATTTAAATAATTGTAGCAATAGCAATAGCACTTAGACTACCGTTTATACCCCTTCGTAGTGCTTTACAGCCCTCTCTAAGCAGTTTAGAGTCAGCATATTGCCGCCAACAATCTGGGTCCTCATTTTACTGACCTCAAAATGATGGAAGGTTGAGTCAACCTTCAGTCTGTCAGGATTGAACTCCTGGCAGTGAGCAGAGTTAGCCTGTAAATACTACATTCTAGCCACTGTGCTACCATTGGGTTGACCTCTTTAAAAAAAACCAAATAGTGAAGTGGTTCAAGTTGATTTGGTCAACTCCCAACTAGTCTCAGTTGAAAATTATGAATTATAAATTATGAATTTGGAATCTGAACCAAATCTTGACCTGTGGATATCTTTAACAGAAATGTGTTCTTTTATTCCAGTTCAAGGGTCTAGCATAATTTAGACATAAAGGAGTAAAGGTCCTTCCATCCCTACTTCCCCCAGTCCCTTCAGCGTGAGGGACCTACCTTCTCAATAAGATCTAAGCATTCTGCATTATCCATCCAATCAATGGCTTCCCAGATGATTCCCTCTCTGCCAAAGAAAAATACAAAGCCAATTAAGCACTCATTTGCAGAGAACAATTAAAAAGCACAAATCATTGCAGTTGCAGAAGAAAGAGAAAAATGAAGAAATGAATAAATGTCCCAGTCTTAAACTAAAAAGAAGCATTGGTGTTTGTACAACTTCCAGCCAGTGGAGGAAAGGGTAATACTGTACCGTTTCCTTAATACTCTTTCACATGGTAGAATGTATGTGACCAAACACTCTTCCTCCTTTAAACAGCTTTCTCATCCTTTAACCAAAAGCAAGGCTTCTCCTAATAGCCAGAACAAAAAATGAAAATATGAGATATCCCCACTGTTTGATAGTCTAATTTTTCTACCTGTTGTACTCAAGCTGCTCCAGGGAGAAGATGTGCTTGTTGAAGTACTCTTGGAGCTTCTCATTTGCATAGTTAATGTTAAACTGCTCAAAACGATTTACCTGTCCATGACAAAAGAAACCAATAGTTAATTCCTTTCACCTCGATCTGGGGAAAATCCTATTTCTCTCAAAGACTCCGAAGAACTGGGGAAACAAGGATGGGCTGGCGGATGTGCATCAGCCTATGCCCTAGAATATCAATTGATGCAAGGGTTGGCGCAAAACTTCAAAACTTACATAGAATGTAAGATAGAAAACAAAAGATGTAGTACGTCTTGAGCAGGGGTGTCAAACTCAAAACCCATGGGCCAGATCTGACCCATGGAGGTGTCCCACAGTCCTTCTGCCAGTGAAAATGGAGCTCAGGAGGCCTGCAGGTGGCTGTCCCGAGCTCTGTTTTCACTGGCAGAGGGTTGCAGGAAGCTGTCGCAGCCGAAAACAGAGCGCTCGGGCCATCACAGGCGCCCCTGACACGATTGATGTTGAGCTAGCCACACCCACCCAGGTCACACCCACCCTGGCCACCCAAGGTCAACCACAATCCTGATGTGGTCCTCAATGAAATCGAGTCTTGAGGGGGGGAAAAATCAAACTCCTATGTGTGTAAGGTAACATGTGCATATATCCAAGCAGAGACTTCTATTATAACAGACTATCATAACCTTCTGTCTTTCAGATTTATTGGGATTTCAACACCTATTAAGTGCAAGCCATCATGTAACTATGGCTATATTAGTGACAACTAACATTTGTACCGTGTTTCCCAGAAAATACGGCCTGTCCTGAAGCTAAGGCCTTGCCACATTATTCTGGTGGGCAAAAATATAAGCCCTCCCCCGCAAATAAGCCTCCTGAACAATTCCCCACCTCTGGCCAGGCAGAGCGCCATTCACCAACGCAGCGGTATCCCAACGGTGCCAAGCAGTGGGAACTGGGGGGGAGGGGCAAAGGTGATCACGTTGCTTGGCGCCTTTGGGTTACCCTAGGTTGGTGAGTGGTGCTATGCCCAGCTGAAGAGGGGGAGGGTTGCTGGCTGGCTGTTCTCTTGCGAACAGGCTCCCAAAGAGCTGGGCACAGCCTCATGGGCGAATGGCTGTGTTGTGCTGTCTAGCAGCGCAGCACAGCAGCCATGAAGCGACCACGGTCACGAGCAGCCACCCAGCAAACCCCTTTTTCCAGCCGGGCACAATGCCATTCACTGACCTAGGGGTATCACCAAGCCGTGTGAACGTTTGTTCACCGCCACCTGGCTCTCGCAGCTTGGCGCCTTCAAAATGCCAGTGAAAGGCGCTCTGCACGACTGGAGGGGGGGTTATGCAAGCAGCTGTTCCGCTCCCGCTCATGCATCTCCGAGCTTCACGATGCCCTGGCCCAGCTCTCCTTGCAGAGCCAAGGCACCTCCGCAGCTGCCGCCGCCATCCCAGCATGGCTTTTTCGGCAGCTTCCAAACTGAGTTTTCCCGCAGTGGCTGCTCTGGGCATACCCTCTATAGTTGTACGCCCAAGCCATATTTTGTATGTAAAAAGAAAATAAGACCCTGTCTTATTTTTAGGGAAACACAGTAGTCCTGAGATATCTATAGGAAGGCTGTAATAAATATTCATGCCCTTATGAATCATATCCCATAATACATCCCACGATTTATACAGTCATAACCAAAACAACTTCCTTATTACCCAAGTTTTGGAACTTTCTTGAGGACCTTATCTTGCTGATCATCCTCTCTGTGCCACTACCACCATCCCATCCCATCCCATCCATCTTCAGATAGTACATTTTTTTACATGCATTACTACTATCTTTGTCCATGCTATGATCTACAACAGCTTAATTTCTGACCTGGAAATTTTCAAAACCAAATATATCCAAGATTCCCACAGATTTAAAATTTTCTTTCCCTTTGATCTTTGAGTTAATTTTTCCAATGATCCACGAGAAGCACCGTGAATAAAGGGCCATGGCAAGAGAGTCTCTGGAATCAGTAGCCTAAGAGCAAATAGGGAGGAAGACATTTTATCACTTATCATGGTCATGTATGACGGGAAATAAATTACATCATTTGGAAAGAGCTAGGAAAAAAATAGTGATGTTTTAAAAGAACCAAGCTGATATATCCACAAAATTGTCTTGGCAAAATACAGAAGCAATTTGTCATGGCTTTCTTCTAAGACATTTCTTCAATTTCAACTTCCCAGTCTTGTCTACAGCCCTACTAATTCCTGCTGGGAATTAGTAGGGCTAATTAGCTTTTGAGACAACTATATTAGATGCCTCATAGCCCGAAAAACTTCAGCATCTGAAAATGTTTATTGGGAAATTGAATTGTTAAGAGTTGGGAAAACCTAGTGCCTGCACTGCCCAAATGAATTGCTTCTCACCAACCAAGCCTTTTTCATTCCAACGAAGACCAGTTAGATTAAAGTACTACAAAATGGAGTCTTTTGGTATGTATTTTTAATTGAAAAATCTCTACATTTAGAAGACTAGGTTAGTTTTCTCCCTAATACACAAAGTTTTCATGAACAGAACCTTTTCCTAGTATGCAACTCTGTTGTTCACCCCCTCAATTGCTATTTGTTCATATAAGATTTCACAATCAGTTCTTAAGCAATTATTTCTGAGAACTGAGTTCTAGGTAGTTCAAACATCTCATCACTATTGTCTATGTGTCTGAAAGAGGCTGAAGATATCCATATTTTTCCCAGAAACCTAAAGGATCCCACCTTTTCATAGGAAGCCATAATCAAGAAACACATCAGAACTATTCTGAGGTTAAATGTCACACCAGAAGCAATGTATACTTACCATACATTATAGAATGTTAAAATGTTAATTTTTAAAAAATGGAACAAAAGAAGCATGATGCCTTTAAGAGCTTCTCTCTACTCCTTCCAATTCATTGGTTGCAATATATGAAAGTAAAGGTAGGGAAGAATTGGGCAAAAGTATTTGACATGTTTCTAACTAAATATTATTGAAGATATATGGGGTACCAGATCAGGACAGCTATATATTCCTCCTAACATATATTTAAGACCTCGGTCAATTCCCTTATTGAAAACAAAGACAAGGGGAACCCTAGTGGTCAGAGTCTGCATAGTCATCCAACATCTCAGTTACCCGTATTTTTCGGAGCATAAGACACACCTTTTTCCCTCGAAAGAGGCTGAAAATCTTGGTGCGTCTTATACATTGAATACAGCATTTTTTGCCTCCCTATATCCTGGCCACTTCACTGAAATGGCCATGCATAGCTTTTAGGAGGCTTCCAGTGTGCTCCTGGGGGCAGAAATGAGTGAAAAATGGGCCATTTTTTGCTCAATTTTGCCTCCCCAGCCCTCAAGAGCCTCCTAAAGGCCATGCATGCCTTTTGGGGGGCAGGAAACAAGCCCGTTTTTGCAAAAAACAGCTTGTTTTCACAAGGTCTGCAGAGCGCAAAAACTTTTTTTTTAAAATCTGCCTCTTCAAAATCTTGGTGCGTCTTATACTCCGGTGCGACTTATACACCGAAAAATATGGTACATCTTTTCAGATTAGTGCCTGTCTTTCAGTGGTGGGTTCCGGATTCCGTTGCATCCATACCGGCATCTACATACACAGGCCCGGCATCTTCCACATGAACGTGTGCAACACGCATGTGCATCTTACCCTCCAGCGACGCCTTCACAAGCCTCTGCGATGCTCCAGCTGCTCAGTGGAGAGTTGCGCAAGCGCTATACGTGCTGTGAGCATGCGTGAAAGCGATGAAGAGTTTAAAGACAGGTAAGGAGCTCGGGTGGGTAGGTGGGCCCTCCGAAGCACTATACTGGAACAGAACTCGGTGCTCCAGGCAGGCATACCGCCTGCAACCCACCACTGCTGTCTTTCCATATCCAGCAGTGGGACGCAAGTAGGGGCAGAAGAGACATACAGCCATAGGCATTCTGTCAAAGCCTTCATTGACTGTATTTAGCTCCTTCTGCTTAACATACTCCAAATGTCAAAGTTTGGAATGGTAATGAGCTTCGAGTACAATGCAAGCTGACTAAGATCACCAGCCTTCTCAGCCAAAATGGAATTTGACAACAGCTGACTGCTGTCCCTGGAGGGAGAAAAGGGGCATTTAGAAGCAGGACGCCTAATTAGCAATGAAAGGTTACTCTTACTGCTATGAACCTTAGCTATTTTTGCACCAGTCAATGATGAGAAGAGTTATGCATGATACCCTCTTGCTCATATTCATGTTCCATACAAGCACCAACTCTAGACTTTGGCATTTTTGGAGTCTTAGCTTTTCAATGCAATTAGTCCATTTTAGGAGCTAAGTAGAGTATGAGTAGGAATTATCTGGACTGTGACTAAATGGGAAAAATGAAAAAATACCCCAGAAGGAGGCAATGATTGAAGAAAACCTCATGAATGTGTCTAAAAATCCATCAGAAGACAAACTTGACCTAAGGAGCTCTTGATTTCCATTCTCAGGTAAAGACCTAGAGCTTCTTCAAACCTTACAAGAATCCTCTGACTTCCTAATGAAGTATTTTGGACTTTTTTCTTTGTTTCGAACAGCGATGGCGAACATTTTTGGCTCGCGTGCCATAAATGGGGGGAGCGCAGGGGGGTTGTGCGCGGGCATGTCGCACCCATAATGCAATGCACGATACCACCCCAGTGCACATGCGCGTATGAGAGGCGTTCCCCCATTTTTTGCATGCTTTTTTCGCCCTCCCCAGGCTCCAGAAGCTTTATAGGAGCCTGGGGAGGACGAAAACAGCCCCCCTTGCCCCCCCCTTCGGAGGCCCTCCAGAGGCTTCAGGGACCTTCAGGAGGCTTCTCTGAAGGCTCCGGAGGACTAAAAATGACCCTACGAGCAAACTGGAAGTGACTTCCGGTTTGCTCGTAGAGTCATTTTTTTACCCTCCGGAAGCTTCAGGGAAGCCTCCTGAAAGTCCCTGAAGCCTCCAGAGGGCTTAAACCAACTACGTAAGCAAACCGGAAGTCACTTCCAGTTTGCTCGTAGGGTCATTTTTAGTCCTC